GGGGAACATTGATGTGAAAGAAAGAGACACATTGACTAATTGCCTCCCACAGGTGCCCTTGACCAGGAATCGAACCTGCAACCCTTAGGTGCACAGGTCGACACTGTAACCACAGAGCACCACCGGCCAGGGCAGTATCTTTCTTAAGAAATAAATGTATCGAGATAAAACTAACCATTTTATAGTGGACAGGTCTGGGGCACTGATTATATTTATTCACAATGTTGTTCAATCACCCCCTCTGGTCCCAAACATTTCCATCCTTCCAAGTAAAACCCCTCACGGAAAGCACTGGAAGTGGCAGGAACAATAAAGCCTTGTAACCACCTCGGTTGGGCAGGAGCTGTCTTTTCACGATAAATCCCAAAACAGGTTTCAGATGCATTTCACAATATTTGAAAGGACGCAGAAAGGCAGTTCACAGGAAAAGGCCAATAAACCTATGAGCAGATGCTCCCTGGTATTGCACAAATGCAAATGAGAGCAAGACACCGTTTCCACAAATCAGATTAGCAAAGATAAAAGTGATCGATGGCGCCCGGTGTCGGCGAGGGGCCAAGGGGAAGGGCACTTCTCCCCGCCGCTGCTGCCGCTGGAAATCGGGGCAACCTTTGGGAGAGCAATCCGTTACCCTCGATTAAATCTGATGGTATCTCTGACTTCCAGGAACGCAGCCCACACAGGGCTCACAGTATGCCAAGACATAAGTCAAAGCCTGTCTTGTTTGAAAATATTTTTAAAAATGGAAACAATCCAAATGCCCATTAATAGGGGATTAGTTAGATGGTGGCCTGTCAGTGCACTGACACACGATGCTTTTATTTTTCAAAATTTATTTTTTTAATGGAGAGGGAGAGAGAGAGAGAGAGAGAGAGAGAGAGAGAGAGAGAGAGAGGGAGAGAGGTCTGTTTGTTGTTTCCCTTATTTATGCCTTCTGGGTACTTCTTGTAAATGCCCTTACCGGGGATTGAACCTGCAACCTTGGCGTATCCGGATGGTGCTCTAACCAACGGAGCTACCTTGGCCTGGGCCAACATGATGCTGTTTTTAGAAAAGAAAAAAGAAGCCCCAGCTGGTTTGGCTCAGTGGATAGGCCTGCAGTCCCGGGTTCGATTTCCGGTCAAGGGCACATGCCCGGGTTGCGGGCTCCATCCCCAGTAGTGGGCATGCAGGAGGCAGCCAATCCATGATTCTCTCTTATCATGGATGTTTCTCTCTCTCTCTCTCTCTCTCTCTCTCTCTCTCTCTCTCTCTCCTCCCTTCCTCTCTGAAATCAATAAAAATATATTTTAAAAAAAGAAAAGAAAAAAAGAAAAAGATAAGCTGTCTGCAGAGAATCAAAGAAAAATCTCCAAGATATAACATGAGATGAAGCAAATTGCCAAATAAGCATGAATATATTTTCATACAAATCATACTTATTTAATTTGTAGTTTTTCATATAAAATTATAATTATGTAGGTTAGAATATATATAAAATAATTATCAAGTAATACACACCAAACTATTCCCATGATTCTCTTGGGATAAAGGGTACAGCAATGTACTTATGGCTAGATTTTCTGCTTTACGCCAACATGTTTGAAAATTTTCACAATAAACGTATACTTTTTTCATCAGAAGAAAAATGTTAATTTTATGAAATTGTTAGATTTTTTAAAAAATGTAATTGATTTTTGGAGAGAGAGGAAGGGAGAGAGAGAAACATTGATGTGAGAGTGAAACATGGATCAGCTGCCTCCTGCACACCTCCTACTGGGGGTTGAGCTCAGAACCCAGGCATGTGCTCTGACCGAGAATCAAACTGGCAACCTTCCATTGCAGGGGACAACACCCAACCAGCTGAGACACACCGGCCAGGACTAGGTATTTTAACAATACCAGCTCCTACTATGTGCTTTATATATATTAACTTATTTAGTGCTCACCACAGTCTCAGGGCGTAAGTACCGTCATTTCCCCTATTTTACCAGAAGAGCCTGAGGCACAGGTTGAATCACTTGACCTTATTGGTTTATTTGTTTATAATTTAAATTTACATATAATTCACATGCCATAAAGTTTACTTTTCCCCCCCAATGGTTTTTACTGTATTCGCCAAGTTGTGCAACCATCACCACTATGTAATTCAACCAAATCTCACTCATTTCTGTGTCCCAAGCACCTAACATGGTGCTAAAACGGCTGTCGAGTGGATTTGCTCTTTATTTATTCAGCTCATATACCTGGAGTGTCTGCTGTGCCCGCCAGACACAGGCTGGGTGCAGGGGACACAGGAAAGAAACACCTGTACAGTGAGGGGCTCATAATACCATAAGGTGAGATAGACACCAGCCTTACCCAGCACACATCCAGGTGTAGTGGGGTGTGAAGTGTATTAGATTTTGTGGACCCTCTTTTTTTCAAAAGGTACATAATTAAGAATAAAAAATGGCTAGATCCCTGGCCAGTACGGCTCAGTTGGTTGAAGCATCATCCCGTGCAGCGAAGGGTCGCAGGTTCGGTTCTGGTCAGGGCACATACCTGGGTGGGGGGTGCGGTCCACGGGCGGGGTACATACAGGAGGCAACTGATCCATGTTTCTCTCTCTCTCTCTCTCCATCTCCTTTCCTCTCTCTCTAAAATCACTGAGGGCATGTCCTCAGGTGAGGATCTATAATAATAAAAGTGTAATATACTAGTTAGACCAGACGTCCTTCTGGACGTCCTTCCAGATGACCTCCGGACGAAGCCAGGGCTGCCTGGGTCCCGGGTGCCTGCTGGTGGCCGGAGGGAAGCCCGGGTTCCAGGTGCCAGAGGGAAGCCGGTGCCGGCAGCTGGGGGAAGGAAGGCCTACTCTTGCACGAATTTTGTGCATCGGGCCTCTAGTTAAAACATAAATAAATAAAGGCTAGGCAGTGGTTCTCAACCTTCTGGCCCTTTAAATACAGTTCCTCATGTTGTGACCCAACCATAAAATTATTTTCGTTGCTACTTCATAACTGTAATGTTGCTACTGTTATGAATCGTCATGTAAATATCTGATATGCAGGATGGTCTTAGGCGACCCCTGTGAAAGGGTCGTTCGACCGCCAAAGGGGTCGCGACCCACAGGTTGAGAACCACTGGGCTAGGGCCTTCCAGAGCCTCAGAAGGCGTGAGCAAGGGTCCCGAGGCCCAGGTTTTGCTGGCTCAGGGGAGCCCAGCGCTGGGCTTAAGGTCCTGTCTGGGAACCTCACTTCAGATCCAATTCCTAATTCGTGTAAGAGTCTGAATTAAAGAAGCTGCCCGCTGCGGGGAGACGATTCATTATCACTTGACTCACAGCGAGTTTTTTGGAAATCTGTGTGCTGTGCCGAGGCTGGGTGTCAGGTGCCTGGAACAACCGGCGCATCTCCCTCTGATCTCCTGGCCGGCCACTGGGAAGGGGCGCCGCACGCCTCCTGCCAGCGCGTGTCACTTCCTCGCCGCGGCCTTTTTCCCATCCCTCGTCCCTCGTTCATGTACACGTTCTCGAGGCATAATGTTCCCTTCACTCAGCTGTCAAGGAGGCCAGTCAGAGGCTCCCCGCTAAAAGCGCCTTCACAGTCAGCTCCCCGCAAGCCCTCGCTGTTTGGAGCTGTTACCCCCTCTTTACAGCAGCTGTGAGCAGCGGCGGAGAGAGCTCATCTTATGGACCGGCTCTGCTGAGTGACAGGGCAGGGAATGCACAGCTGGAATCGTGCAGGGGATCACAAAAGGCAGCTAGTCAGAAAGCCCGTGTTCCGATTTGCAGAATTGGAAATGGCTCTCTTCCTCCCGCAGAAAGACACTTCTGGGGCCAGTCTTCGGGTCTCCCGTGGAGCAGGTCCAGGTCCTCCCCGTGAAAACCGCCATGGAGCTGGAGAGGCGCTACTTGGTGTTCATCAACAGAGACAAGGTACGCTCTGCTCTGCCCGCCTCGGGAGGCGGCTCTGTGTGCTTTGAGTGGCGGTCGGTCCCAAGGATTCTATCAAGGATGCTTGGTTTCCTAGCCAAGTCCAGCTCCCTCCACCCAGGTCCATGGTGATACTGACAACGGCCATAGACAAGTGAGGGTGACTCTGAGAAGGCATTTCCAAGCAGACACATGGTCCCCAAAGGATCTTATTCACGTAGGGAAAAAATCTTGCTCGCCCAGTGTGACTTATGGTTGAGCATCAACCTGTGAACCAGGAGGTCACAGTTTGAATCCCTGACAGGGCACATGCCCAGGTTGCGGGCTTGATCCCCAGTAAGGGGTGTGCAGGAGGAGGCCTATCAGTGATTCTCTCTCATCATTGATGTTTCTCTCTCTTTCTCTCTCCCTCTCCCTTCCTCTCTCTGAAATCAATCTATATATATAAAAGGCTAATGTGCTAAATGTCCGACCGTCCGACCAGTTACTATGACGCGCACTGAACACCACGGGGCACATGCTCAATGCAGGAGCTGCCATGACGCGCACTGGCCATTTACAGAGAAATGGCACCGTGGACCTGGTGCCCACAAAGCAACACTTAGCTTCCCCCAAGTGGGACACAGGCCCTGCCACCACCCTGGAGTGACAGCCCGCCAAATCGCAGCCAATGCTGCCGAGACCCATGGCGCAAAATGCAGCCCACAGCCCAGTCCAGCCCGGAAACAGTGGCTGGGGGAACCGGGTAATGATGTCACGTAGCAACACCCACCTTCCTCTCCCTAGAAACAACTAGCCTCCTTGCAGTTTCTTCAGCCCAGGAACACAACTTGCTTTATAGCCAGGTGGAAACATTTTACACTTTAACCAAATGTCTGTGAAGCATTTCTCGTGCCTCATCTCATTTGATCCTTCACAGATGTCCTGGAGGAGGTAGATAGGAGACTTGGTGGAACCCCATATTCTTTTCATTAGCTGGAAAATGAAGATTTAGAAAACTTAGAAACTTGACCCAACTGAAGAGAAGTAAGAAATGGTGGACCTTGAAAATGACTCCAGGTTTTCTCACTGCACAGAATATAGTCAATATAGTCAAACACTGCTGCAGTTAAATATTTTACCCTTTGCTCTCCCTGCATGATCTACAATAATAATCTGCTTCATGTTGATATTTACTGCTGTGTTGCTGACAATTACCTGAAAGAGAAGTTGGGGTGCTTCACTGGGCTGTAAAAAGTTTAGCCAAATTAGAAAGCAGGTCTGATTAAGCAAGTTTATTCTATATATAGAAAAGACTATATGTGTGATACATATAAAACTCTCACTGGCGCCAATCGCATGCATGTGTTTCGATCTGTCATATCGATCATGTATTTGGTTGAAACTTCTAGAGAAAGGGCAAATAGCTATATTAAAATATTTCTTCTAATTAATTTCCTTTCAATGTGCACGAATCCATGCACTGGGCCACTAGTAAACATATATTTTAAAACATCTTATACTAGTAAAAGCATACAAATTAGTTACACTTAGTTGTGCATTTAATGAGTGACCTATACGGGAAAGCATAAAATCGTAGGATGTTAGGATTATTCTGGAAAACCTTGGGCATCCGCCTATGAAGACGGGAGGAAAGCTCCCTTCTGTGTCCTTGCTGGAACCTGACATCTCTCTCCTAAGGGATCACCCTGCAGGGGTCTGTGTGTGCGAACCCTCTGCCACCTGAAACGCGCTCACACACCCTGAGCCACAGGAGTCTTCCCAGTGACAGGCCTGAAGGTCACTGTGAAGGTGCCGGGCCCAGCCTGGGACCTGGTCATCCGAGCCTGAATATCCGGTTGCCTGTTCCTTTCCAGGTCGGACTCCAGATCTTACCGATAGATGGCAACCCCCATAAGACCTGTGCTATCGTCTGCCACCCGAACGGGGTGGCCGGGATGGCCCTCTCCTACAATGGCCACTACATCTTCACGGCCGGGGGACAGGACCTGTCTGTGGTGCAGTGGGAAGTCAACCTCAGGTGCGTGTTGGGGAGCAGCTTGGCCCGTGAGGACGGGGGCCAGTGCAGACCCCTTCTGAATACTCAGCAACAGCAGGCAGGTGTTACACCCAATCAATGCCGGGCACTGTGCCAGGGCCGCAGGTACAAAGGTGACCAAGGACTCAGGCATTGCCAGGCCCGTGTGGCTCAGTGGTTGGACGTGGAACTATGAACCAGGAGGTCACGGTTCTATTCCCGGTCAGGGTATGTGCCCGGGTTGTGGGCTCGGTCCCCGATGGGGGTGTGTGTAGGAGGCAGCCAAATGGTGATTCTCATCATTGATGAGTCCATCTCTCCTTCTCCCTTCCTCTCTGAAGTCAATAAAACTTTTTTTATTTTAAGAATTTAAAAACAAAAGGACTCAGGCCTTGCCCTCAGGCCGCTCCTGGTGAGAAAGCTTGCTACTCTGTCTGCAGGGAACATGGTATAGCTCTGACCACCAGAGGCTGCTACCGGGGCTCCTGTGACTGTCCCCTTGGGCATTCCTGGTGTTGACAGGCTCCTCTGTGTAACTTCTGGCCTTTACCCGGCGCTCCTCCAGAGCCACATGGCTCAAGTGGCCTCCCTGCCCACAGAGCCTGTTGGGACTGGGCTTGGGCCTGGCCTGGAGGCCACAGAGACGAAGCCCTCACAGCTGGGCACCTGCCTTGATGGCTAACATCAGAGCCAAGAGCCGCGTGAAGACTGGGCTGGGACCCCAGGTCCACCTGGCGATCACTCCGGCTTCACCGACCGTGTGTAGGGCTTGTGCAGGGCCCTATTGGGAGGAGTGGGGACAGTTGTGTGGGAGGTGGAGGTGCATGTCAGTTCCCAGTCAACGGCAGTAATAGTTTTTTTAAAAATATATTTTATTGATTTTTTACAGAGAGGAAGGGTGGGGGATAGAGAGTTAGAAACATCAATGAGAGAGAAACATCGATCAGCTGCCTCCTGCACGCCCCCTACTGGGGATGTGCCCACAACCAAGGTACATGCCCTTGACCTGAATCGAACCTGGGGACCCTTGAGTCCGCAGGCCGACGCTCTATCCACTGAGCCAAACCGGTCAGGGCAATAATTTTAACTGCTCGTACCAAGTCTGTTCTGGGCCAGGCCCTGTCCGGGTGCTTTCCAGATACTGTCCGATTTCATCCTCACAGCTGCCCTGTGAGGTAGGGGCCGTCGCCGTCCCCACTGTACAGGCCTGGAAACCACCTCCCAGGGGTTAGGTGACCTGCACTAGCGGTGACGGAGTAGTGGGGGGGTGGGGTTCTCGCCGTCTTTCTGATTCAGGCCCACACCTCAGCAGGCACTCATCACAGCACAAAAGTAAAGGTCTTCTTGACAAATCCCTTATTGCATCCATTTAATTCTCACAACAACCTGTGAAGCAGACCCTGCAATTATTCCCACTTTACAGAAGAGAAAACTGAGGCCCAGGGAGGTGAAGTTACCTGCAAGGGGCAGAACTGGGAGCCCAGAGTCCAGATACTAAACCACTTCTCTGCTGTGGTCTACACTGCAGTGTGTTGTGGTTTTAAAAATATATATATTTTTATTGATTTCAGAGAGGAAGGGAGAGGGAGAGAGAGATAGAAACATCAATGATGAGAGAGAATCATTGATTGGCTGCCTCCCGCACGCCCCACACTGCTGATCAAGCCCGCAACCTGGGCTTGTGCCCCGGCCGGGAATCGAACCCTGACCTCCTGGTTCATAGGTCGATGCTCAACCACTGAGCCACACTGGCCGGCTGCAGTGTGTTTTAATAACCCACAAGGAGGCTAATGGCCTGGTTAGCGGAGATCCAGTGAGTGGGTTATTATAATGATTTCATATTATTATTAGCATTCTATGCGTGGCAAAGTCGGTCTCATACAAAAGTAGGTTTTCTTACCTTACGGGCCTATTTTTGGAAAAGCTGACCCCGTGTTAGAGAGCAGAGGGTTATTTTTATCCGACTGGCATGGGTCCCCTGTGGCCTCCTGAGTGTTCGTGGAAGCAATTAGCGTTGGCAGTTCACCTCTACCACCCGGTGCCCTCGGCCCTGGCCACGTGAGGTCTAGAGTCACGGGCAGAGCCGCTGTGCAGGGAGGACTCCCTCTGGAGAGGCGCGGTCCCCGAAGATCGCAGACACCTTGCCAAGCGCCTGCTCTGCCGTCTGCGTGTGGATATCACTGTCATTGAGGCGTTTGACCTGTACCACCGGGCGCCGCGCTTGGAATGGAACTTTTCACTTTTGGTTCATCATGGAGGGCGTTTTCTTAACAGGTTCACAGGGACCCTAATCGTAGCTGCGCCCCGGAATAGCCTCCGGAGGCCCGCAGTGCCCCGCGGCCCCGGCCCCGGCTGCTGGCGCTCGAGAGCTTTCTAACAGCCCCCTTTTTGCTCCCGTTCTAGCGCCCTGGAGGCAGCTGTTTCTCTTGGGGGTGAAGACTTGATCCCGTTCTATGGCCTGGTGTCTGGTGGCAGGGAAGGAAAATTCTACAGGGTAATCGTCCTCAGAGTAAACACTGCCCGGTAACATCGAGTTAGGAGTTTGCAAAACACAGGTGTCCGGGGGTTAACCCTCGTGCTTTCCCCCCCAAAGCTCTTTTTCTCCTCCCCCCACCCCCCAACACACTGAGCTCAAAATGTACTTTCTAGAAAATGTCCTTGGAGTCTTAATGGATGCTTCCCACTGAAGCCACAGTGCACGCTGTGTTGCCATTTTGCTTCCACGCAGGAGCTGGAGGACTATTTTTACTACTCGCAGCTCCGTAGTCAAGGCATCGACACAATGGAGGCCAGGAAGGTGTCGGAACACATTTGCCTGTCGGAGGTGCCTTTTGTCATGAGAGCCATCGGCTTCTACCCCTCGGAAGAGAAGGTAGGCAGGAGGAGGGCAAGGACAGCGGGGGGATGTGCTCTTTAGGAAACCGGCCCCGGAGACAGCGAGCTCGGGTCAGCGTGAAGCACTGAACATGGTTCTTGCGTAAGTGGCTCAGGAGGAAGGTTCTGGGAGAGCAGACGAGCTCCTTAGAACAGCCTCCCCTGCAGATGTTCCTAAAAGACAGGTTCCTCACCACCAAGGGTGGGCGCTGGTCAGAGCGAGGGTCTGGGAGTCAGCGGGGCTGGCCCGGGCGGGGAGGACCAAGGAGGCGATGCCTGAGAAGCACTCGGTGCAGGAAGAGCTCAGTGACAGTTCTTCCCCGTCTGTCTGGCTGCTGCTAACCTGGCCCGTGGGGATGGGGTGCCTCTGGGAGGTGGGGCTCAGACAATGCCATCTCTGCATGACCTCACTGAGCACCCCCAGCTGTAGGTGGGGGGCTCCACAGGGGCACCAGCGACACTCCCAGGAGAATGTTCCCCAGAGAAACTGTGGCTTAAAATGCAATTGAGCCCGGCCGGTGTGGCTCAGTGGTTAAGCATTGACCTGTGAACCAGGAGGTCACTGTTCGATTCCCAGTCAGGGCACATGCCCAGGTTGCCGTCTCAATCCCCAGTGGGGGGCATGCAGGAGGCAGCACATCAATGATTCTCTCTCATCATGGGTGTTTCCAGCTCTCTCTCCCTCTCCCTTCCTCTCTGAAATCAATAAGAACATATTTCTTAAAAATGCAATGGATTGGGTTTCTTCCTGAGTTTAAATGTTAACACATCAGAAAAGATATATAAGTGGAATGAAGAAAACAATTATAATCCCTCTGCACAGGCTAAATGGTTATTCATATTTTAAATCATACACACACACACACACACACATACACACATTTATTTTAATTTTTAAAATCCTTACCCCAGGATATGTTTTTTTTATTTTATATCTTATTGATTTTTTACAGAGAGGAAGGGAAAGGGATAGAGAGTTAGAAATATCGATGAGAGAGAAACATCGATCAGCTGCCTCCTGCCCCCCTCCTACTGGACATGTGCCCACAACCAAGGTACATGCCCTTGATCGGAATTGAACCTGGGACCTTTCAGTATGCAGGCTGACGCTCTATCCACTGAGCCAAACTGGCTAGTGCTCAGGATATGTTTTTATTGATTTTTAAAGAGAGAGAGGAAGGGGGAAGGGGGGAGAGAGAAACATTGTTTGCCTTCCATATGCTCCCTGACTGCAGATCAAACCTGCAACCTAGGTATGTGCCCTGACTGGGAATCGAACCCACAACCTTTTGGAGTACAGAATGACGTTCCAACCAACTGAACCCCCCGGCCAGGGCTTCTCACTGTGTTTTCAAGGTGCCCCTACGTTGTAGCGTAGATCAGTCCTGCATTTCTTTTCATGGCTGAATCATATTCTACTCATTCATATGGGCAGGGCACATCTTACTTCTTTCCCTTCATCAACTGGTGGACACCTGGGCTGTTTTCACCTTTTGGCTGCTGTGAGTAACACTGTCATGAGTATTTGCGTACGTGTCTTTGTGTACTGGTAGAGGCGTGTTTTGACTTCTCTTGCGTGCACACCTGGGAGGGATATGGCAGCGTCAGTGGTGACTCCATGGTGAACTGTTTGAGGAACTGCCAGTGTTTGTTACCTGTCTATCTATCCATCCATCCATCATCTATCTCCTCTATTTATTTAAATTGGTTGGGGTGGCCTTGGTTAATAGGATCACACAGGTTTCAGGTATGGACTTCTGTGTTATAAGGTCTGAATACCAGTGTCCTTTATCCACACTATTTCTGGGTGCAGCTGCAAGGCAGGATCGAGATTTCGGAGAGCTGCGGGCCCCTCGCTGACCCTCGGTTGTGGATTTGGAACAAGATGAAGGACTCGTCCTTCTGATTTGGAAACCTTTAAAAACATTCACGTGGGGCAGGGAGGAGTCCCGGAGGTGTTTGAGGCCCGGGGTCTGATGAGCAGCCGGGAGAAGGTCACCAGGAAGGGCCCTGTGATTGGGTGGTGGCCTCATCTCTGAGTCACCCACCACAGACGACAGGGAGACAGCTCTGTGGCCGGGCACTAAAGGCGACTGCGTCCAGTGGGCAGGACTTGGCGCTCCGTGGCGTGTCCCTGGACAGAGAGGCAGCTGCCATCCAGATGTGGTTACTGGCGGAAGCAGAGGGCAGCTGTGAGTCACACAATGAGGCAGAAATAGCAGGGGTGTCTCCAGATGTGACTGTGTCCTGGCCCTGCCCACCCCTGACACCTGCCCCGCAGCCCCTCCTCGCCTGCCCCAGGTCAGCGCAGAAGCACTGGGCGGCAACACGAAGGTGATGCTGTGACAGAAGACTGTCTCCTTGTTGCGGAGCACGTTCCCAAGAGCTCTGTGCACCGGAAGGAGGAGGAGAGCCCTCCCGGAGTCTGTGGAACTGTCGCAGAAGAACCCGGCTCACCAGGCGCCGTTGACAGAAGCGAGAGGTGGCCTCCGTGCAGATGCATGGTGACCCCCTCCTGTTAACAGGGAGGCTGTAAAGCTTACTTGTGAAGCATGGTTCTGAGGACATCAGGGGCTTCCTGTGGTCGGCGGCAGGATCACCAGCCCGAAGGCCTGTTGGGTGGATGTCAGAGGCGGCCGTGAAATCATCCTGGGCCAGGGGCTCCGGCCACCAGGCACAGGCTGCCCTCGTGTCACGGGCCGGGCAGCAGTGCCACGGAGAGGCCAGGTGCTGGGTGTCTAATGTTTAAAAGCTGTTGAATAAAATACCTGCCCTGACTGTTCTCCCCTTTAGCACGGGCTGGTTCTAACGAGGGTTCTGGACTTCTCGGAGTTTCCCACTTGGATGGGCAGCATGGGGGAGCCAGGCCAGCAACCTGCTTGCCTTTTCACCCGGGCACCTTCTCTGGCCACCCTCAGCCCTTCCCTGCCCTCCCTCGCTTCCACTCTCTAAAAATCAAGGAGTCCTGCCCGTGTGGCTCAGTGGTTGAGTGTCGACCTATGAACCAGGAGATCACAGTTCAATTCCTAGTCAGGGCACATGCCCTGGTTTCGGGCTCAATCTCCAGTAGGGAGTGTGCAAGAGGCAGGCAATCAATGATTCTCTTTCATTGTTGATGTTTCTATTTCTCCCTCTCCCTTCCTCTTTGAAATCAATAAAATCAATGGAAAATCTCTATATATGAAAGGCTAACATGCTAAGTGTCTGTCCGGATAATTATGTCACATAGCAACACCCAACTTCCTCTCCCTAGCAACTAGTCTCCTTGCAGTTTCTTCAGCCCAGGAACACGACTTGCTTTATAGCCAGGTGGAAACATTTTACACTTTAACCAAATGTCTGTGAAGCATTTTCCTGTGCCTCATCTCATTTGATCCTCACAGAAGTCCTGGAGTAGGTAGATAGGAGACTCAGTGGAATCCTCTTTTCCTTTCATTAGCTGGGAAACGGCGATTTAGAAAGCTTAGAAACTTGACCCGACTGAAAAGAAGTAAGAAATGGTGGACCTTGAAAATGACTTCAGGTTTTCTCTCTGTGCAGAATATAGTCAAACACTGCTGCAGTTAAATATTTTACCCTTTGTTCTCCCTGCGTGATCTACAATAATAATCTGCTTCATGTTGATATTTACTGCTGTGTTGCTGACAATTATCTGAAAGAGAAGTTGGGGTGCTTCACTAGGCTGTGAAAAGTTTAGCTAAATCAGAAAGCAGGTTTATTCTATGTATAGAAACGGCTAAGTTGACTCACACATGTGTGATACATATGAAGGTCTTGCTGGCGCCAATCACACGCGTGTGTTTTGATCTGTCATTGTCAATCGTGAATTTGGTTGACACTTCTATTCTAGAGAAAGGGCGAATAGCGATATTAAAATATTTCTTCTAATTAATTTCCTTTCAATGTTCACAAATTCGTGCACTGGGCCACTAGTAAATAAAAATCAATGGAAAGAATATCCTTGGTGAGGATTAACAACAACAAAATAAAAATAAAATAAAAACCGTAACACCACCCCACGCCCATTAAATCAGCATCTCTGGGGATGGGACTTGGGCATCAGGACGTTTTAGCTCTCCGGGTGAATCAGAGGAACCCCTGCCTTAGCAGAGGGTGGGCCCGTGAGAGAATGTCAGCACAGGCCAGCTGGGCGCCCCGGGCGGGCAGCGTCACGCTGGGGCATCGGGAAGGCACTCGGTGTTCCGGTTCCGTCTCTGAGGTTCCTCTCCAAGTATGAACTCTGTTTCGACAAGCAGCAGAACCTGCCTTCTCACCTACCACTTGCAGAGTAGGCTCGGGGAAGAGATGTCAGTGACGCCGAAACTGCCAGCTCTGTCCCTTGAGCAGGGGAGGAGTAAGAGGTGAATCCCCATGCAGTGGATCATGCTGAGGACACACGCTGTGCTCTGCTCTGGGCACGAGTGACTTCAGGCACCTTTGGGTTCCTTTGGGTTATCTTTGGGTTAGTCTCCTATTTCTGAATTGAGTCAGATCATATATCACATTTATATTTTACATGTATCACTTACATTATTTATGTACTTACAAAGTGTAATTTATATTATACTAGAGGCCCAGTGCATGGATTCGTGCACCAGTGGAGTCCCTCGGCCTGGCTTGTGCCCTCTCACAATCCGGGACCCCTCGGGGGATGTCAGACTGCCGGTTTCAGCCTGGTCCTCACAGGCCAGGCCAAGGGACCCCACCGGTGCACGAATCCATGCACCAGGCCTCTGGTATGCATATAAGATATTTGGTTAATCTCTTCCCATCCTCCCTCCTCCCCATTCCCTCTGAGACTCATCAGTCTGTTCCATGTTTCCATGCCTGTGTGTTGAGCGTCTGCCCCCTTGATGTACAGTGCGTGTCATAGCTACCGGTTGAACGGTTGAAAGGTTGAACGGTCACTTAAGCTTTTGTATATATAGATTATAATTACATATAACTGGCAAGGACATACAAAGCATAACCACAGGCCCTAGCCAGTTTGACTCAGTGGAAAGAGCATTGGCCTGCAGACTGAGGGATCCCGGGTTCGACTCCAGTCAAGGGCACATACCTCTGTTGCAGACTCCTTCCCGGCCTGGGCCCTGGTTGGGGCTCATGCAGGAGGCAACCAATCGATGCGTTTCTCTTACATTGATATTTCTCTCTGTCTTTCCCTCTCTCTTCCACTCTCTCTAAAAATCAGTGGAAAAATATCCTCAGGTGAGGATTAAAAACAAAAACAGAACAAAACAACAAAGCATAACCACGGGAGTAGTTGCTGCTTGTTGAGTACTTGTTATGTGCTAGGCATGATGTTTAGCACTTTACACACATGGTCGCAGTTAGCTTCAAAACAGTCCAATCAGATGTGTTACCATATCACACCCTTTTTCAAGATGAGAAAACCGAGGATGAGGAATGTTAAGTTACTCCCCCAGGTCACGTAGAAAGTGACAGACCCAGGGTTTGAACCTCGGTCTGTCATCAAAGATCATATGTACAGCCCCAGTCTCCACTGGCTCAGTGAGTAGAAGCATGTGTATATAATAACACTTAAAATTACATAATACATTATGTAAAGAATGTGCTCCAGGATAGTGTTTTATTTATAGATAAAATTATACGTAATCTAACATGCGATTGTGTATAATATAAGCTCACTAAATGCTATATATGAAACAGTGTTCCATTTAAAGCTACTTTTATACTAGCAATTATAGTTCATTGGTATCCTAACCAATGATGTAACATTTTCAAAAGATCATTCCCAGAATGTTGCATTGAGAATATGTGGTTTCTTTGAAAATATTGGGTACTAAGACAGTGTTAAAGGTAAGAAAGGATATATATATATATATATATAAAATCAAATTTGCAAAAAATCAACCCCATAACAGACATGATCTAAACTGTGAACATTTGTCTGTTGTCAACCAGTATCACCTCAATAAATTGAATAAAAAATGAAAAATAAAAAAACCCACAAAACACACATTTGTCTGTTACCCTCTGATTTTTAGAATATATGAAAAGTGCCAGCCGGCCAGCATGGCTCAGTGGTTGAGCTTCGACCTATGAACCAGGAGGTCACGGTTCCATTCCCAGTCAGGGCACATGTCAGGGTTGTGGGTTCAATCCCCTCTCCCTTCCTCTCTGAAATCAATAAAATATAT